CAGCAGCAGCAGCAGCAGCAGTAATGTCGGTGCTTTGTGGTGGTCAGTAGCATTGTACTCGTGCGTGATTGCGGCAACACTCACCGCTCTCATATCCCTTACTGCATTCTGCCCTGCGGCCTGTTTGGAAAAGACTGTAGTCATCCCAGCATCACGGCCGGGAGTGCAACCTAGATCCCCAAATCCGGAACGAGACCTCGACCCTAACCCCTGAAGCCCGTACCCCCATTACCGCAAAACCGATAAGCCCTAAACCCTAAACNNAACCCTAAATCCTAAAGCCTTAAACCCTGAAGCCTAAAACCTCCCCCTTCCTGAACGAGCGGCTCTAGATTCTCAGGCGCAGGAGCTTCTGCAAGATCAGAGCAAGACCCAGGCGGCGTCTTAACCCTAAGGCTCTAAGGGCTCATACTAGAACAAAGACCATACTCTAAGGACTCATATTATAAGGCTTTTGGGCCCAAAGACCATACTACATAAGGCTTTTGGGCTATTTTGAGCCTGAGGGTAAGGGTTCCTTTTACACAAAATACCCTGTCTAGGGGTTCCTTCGAAGGCCTCCTTTCAGGGGTTCCTGCAAAGGTTTCCGGTCAAAAAAGGTTTCCCTAGAAAGGGTTCCGTTTAAGATGTTGTTTGCGGGTTCCTTGTGAAAGTTCCTTTTGGGGGCTCCTTTCAATTTAAAGGGTTGCTTTCGAGCCCTAAACCCTATACGTAAACCCTAAACCCGATAAACCCTAACCCAGAACCGGTAATGCCCGACAGGAGGAGTTTCGGCGCGACTTCACGGAGGAGCAGAAGCTTCGAAAGGAGGCGACCAGCCACCTTGGTACGAAGCTGGAGGCCGGCATTTTCCGTTTTTGGCTTCCAGGGCTATATTTAAGGGGTTTTAAGGGCGTAGATGTTTAAAGTTGAGGCTTGCAAGGTTATGTCGGGCTTCCAGGGCTTAGGGCCAAGTTGAGGGCTTCGGGGTTTAGGGCTTCGTGCTTCTGTCTTGGCGTCGCTACCGCTCCCTACGCCCCTGAAACCACATACTACAGGAGCCTAAAGAACTACCCATGTTATTTCTTAGGGTTCCTCATTATAACTTTTTTCAAGGAGCCCAGAACCCTATTCTAATTATAAATGCCCCTACATTACACCCTTGTAGCACCCTTATAAGAATCCTTATAGGAACCCTTAAGAGGAGCCCCTACAAAGCCCAAGGCCTCCAGCATAGCGACCTGAAGGTTCGAAAGTTGCTTTGTTCCCGGAAGCCGGACATCCGGCACCAAAGGGCCTTAATGAATCGCTCTATTGTTTTGGGGGGGTTCCTTGTTATAGTTAGGTATTTTTATAATATACCCCAAAACCCTGTTCTAAATATTTATAAGGTCTCTATATTGCATACGTTGTGTTGTCTATTCGCTGTCGGGTCTTATCAAGCAACCGAACATGGACTGTTCTGTGTTAGGTTTAGCAAGGTTAGCCGCGAAATCAAGCCCAAAATCGTCAACCCCGGTCGAAGCCCTTACATAGTACATAGCACCCTTCTAAATCTATTGTAGGGGCCTATAAAACCTCCAACCCACTATCAAGCCCCAATGCAGCCAAAAGCCCTGACACCCTCAGGGAAAAGCCGCTTTCGGAGCCTTTTTGCGAGCCCTTCAAAGAACCTTCGTAGAGAGTTATTGAACTTTAGAAGACCCAGAAATCCGGAAACAAAAAAAACGTCGTAAAACCCAAAAGACTCTACACCTCCTTACACAACCCGTTTTGAAGCCCTCTTAAAAAGCTGTCTTAAAGCCCTCCAGGAGCTTCGACGGGAGATCTCCGAGGAGCAAAGAAATCGCTCAGAGGCCCTCAGCCGCGTGGGCACGAAGCTCCAGGAATTGCGGAGGGGGGGCTTAGAGGGGGGGCTTAGGGTTTCTAGGTTTTGGGGTGTAGTGCCTGTGTAGGGGTTTAGGGTTTGGAGTTTCAGGGTTTGCTAGGTTTGGTGGAGGGTTTCGAGGCCGAGATTTAGGGGAGGAGGCATTTTTTGCGGAGAGTGGTGGAGGGGGAAGGGGAAAAGTTTTTTTTTTGGGGGGGTGTGCCTTTTTTGGGAGGGGGAGGTGGGTGATGCTTTGGGACGGATCGGAAAGATATTTTCAGGAGGAGTCTCGGCGCGACCTCGCGGAAGAGCAGAAGCTTCGCAAAGAGGCCACCAGCCTTCTTGGCGCCCAGCTGAAGGCAAGGGGGAAGGGGCACTTGGGCGTGTCTTGTGGTTGTTCGTCTACAGGGTCTGCAAACCTATAACTCCCCTATCATAACGAGCAAGGCTACATTCAGTGTCCTCTGCAGTTTGTGAACCTGAAGGACTTCACCCGCAATCCCTGCCAGGCCCCATTTATGAGAGCTGAATTCCCATAGTCCCCAAGCTGTATAGAACCTGCCATGCCCCTGGGGAAAGAGCCTTTGCCGAACCTCCTTGCAGGAGGAGTTCCGCCGCGACCTTGCGGAGGAGCAGCGGCTTCGGAAAGAGGCACCGATGTGTTTTCGGTTTAGTTTTAGGGTTTGGGGTTTTGGGCGGTGTCGGGCAATGTCATGCAGACCGGTTAGAGACGGTCGCCATCATGGAAGCCGCAAGCCCCAAGTCCATAGACCCTCACGTCGTAGCTGAATGAGTACACTCTACACTCTTCGGGCGGGTAATATAATCCCTTATAGAACTGAGAGTGTACACTTTTTTGCTCTTATGAATTCAGTAAACTAAGCTCAAGACCCAGAGCCTTGGCGAAAACCTCAAAAGCTCCACCAGACCAAAAGCTGCAGCCTAAAAGCCCAAAGCCCCTGAGGTCCAAGCCTAGACCGCTTCAACAAAATACATCCCCTACTGAGGCCCAGTCCCTATCTAGACCCTCAACAGGTTTCTTCTGGTGGAAGACATCATGTTGATTGATAGAATTTATAAACTTATACAATTACTGTGATAGAATCCCGATGTCAGCCAAAGTTTTCAAACCCGAGCACCTAGCCATAATTAATCCAAATGAAACCTAAGGCAAGCAGGAGAAAGATGTTGCGACAGTTTTTAGGGTTTGCGGACCTTCTTGCAGCTGACACAACAGAGTCTGGGATCTTGAGCTTAGGGCTTTGTAAGGGCTTCAAAACATCTTCGAAAACACAATATACAAACCCGCCGATCCACGTAAAAGGAACCCCACCGTACAGAAGGCTTGCAGAAACCCGTTCAACATTTTGGGGAACCCTGTCGTTATTCTGACTGTTAAAAGTTAAAAGGCCCTGAGAATAGAGCAACCAATCATGGCAGGCGATGGAGGAGCTGGCAGCACAGCTGGAGGAGACCAGCCGAGTAAGGGGTGCACAAGGATTCCTACAGTTCATAAACCCTATAAACCCTCAGGTTTTGAAATGAACAAGATTCCGTAACGGTTCAGTTGTTCGGGTTTTGGCCTTTGGAGCGCTGACAAAGACTGTTCGGCATTGCGGGGGATTATGGGGTTTGGGACTGTCGGCACAGAGTTGAAGCGTGAACTTAGGATGTAGGATGTTAAGGGGGGTCTTGTTTGGCCAGGGTTTTGGGACTGAGACAAAGGGGGGATCTAGGATTTAGGGTTTAGTTTAGGGTTAGTATAGCGAAACGGTCAGTCGTGGCCTTGCGGCACTGTGAGCCTGACAGTGCACGGAGGCCGCATGTTGTTGCCAGGCACTCAGCTTTCGGACAACAGTAAATACCAATTCGTTGAGCAAATGCTTCGGCCCGAAACAGCGGTGTAACACGTGAATCTCTTGGTTACAGCCTACTGTGAACCTCTTTGGGTTGCATGCCGCAGGAGGAGTCCCATCGCGACCTGGCGGAGGAGCAAAAGCAACGCAAAGAGGCTTTGATCCTCTTGGGCACACAGCTGGAGGCGAGAAAACGGGGCGGGGGGGGGGGGGGGGGTTCAGGGAGTGTCGGCTTTTAGAATAGACAAGTAGGATATGTAAGGATCCTTAAAGTTAGTCTTCAAAAGGCTTGTGGAATTAGGTTTAGGCCTGTGGTTTTGGAGGGTATGGGGTTTGCAGGGCTTCGAGTTTCAGGCTTTGGGTTAGAGGCCCGCAGGGTTTTAGCTGTCTGAGCCCCAAACCCTGAACCCCGAAACAGCAGCAATCAACCAAAGACCAATACCCTAACCCNNTAACCCTTAGCATCAAAATAGCCCGAAAGCCTCATATTGTAGGGTCTTTGGGCCCAAAACACCAAGAATTAGTCCTTTAAAAGGGTGAGGGGTAACCAATACCCTAAAACCCCTAAACCCTAAACCCTAAACCTAACCTCCATGGTCCACAACGCCCTAGGCCCTAAACCCTAAATCCTAAACCCTAAACCCTTCAGCCGAAATCCTAAACCCTAAAACCTAAAGCCGAAATCCTAAACCGTAAATCCTAAATCCCAAACCCTAGATCCTAAATCCTAAACCCTACATCCTAAACCCTAAACCCTACATCGTAAACCCTAAACCCTACATCCTAAACCCTAAACCCTACATCCTAAACCCTGAATCCTGAAGCCGCCCATCGTCTAGGGCTCCTTCCTTTCAGGATCAGCTCACGTCGATGGCCGACCGACAGCAACATCAGGCCAACGTGTAAGGTTTAGGGTTTCGGGCTTTCAGGGGCTGTTTGATCGTAGGATGTAGGATTACATAGGGGTCAAGGGTTTGGGCTTTACGATGCAAGGTTTCAGTTCGCTTGGGTTTACATGTACGGCTATGTAAGGAGTTCGTTTACGCACGGTCCTTGACAAGGCCCACCCCAAAATTTCAAGAAACATGTCATTCCCTAAACCCTAAACCTAAACCCTAAACCCTAAACCCTAAACCATAAACCCTAAACCCTAAACCCTAACCGTGCGAAGGAACCCACACTGCAACCCAGAGTCGCCGCCTAGTGGCGCAAAACCACTACCTATAACCCAAACCCTATATAAATCCTCAACCCTAAAGCCCTAAGGTCTAAGCCCAAAACCCTAAACCCTACACAGAAGGATCATGCACAAAGGGTTTCTAGACTCCCGCCTTTTGACGGGAATCCCCCTTTGCCCACCAAAGATGGGGTCCTCACGATTCTCTGAGATGAAGGCCTTCTGATTTCACTTTACCTTTAACACCGAGGTCTGAATCACATGAGGCCTGAAAGCTTTTTTTTGGGGGGGGTGGGGAGGTGGGAGGGTTTTGGGTTTCTTAATTTTTTGGGAGCCCTGAAAACGAAGCCTTAAACCCTAAACCCTAAACCTTCAGCCAGGCGTCGGAGCTGGGGAAGCTCAGCCGGGAGCTCGCATCGAATGCGCTGGAGGCCACAAAGCGAGACCTTCGACTCCTCCGCGAGGACCGGAGCTTCGGGGCTTTTGAGGGTTGGAGGATCTGGGAGTTTAGGGTTTAGGAATTAGGAGTTTAGGAATTAGGAGTTTAGGGTTTAGGAATTAGGAGTTTAGGAATTAGGAGTTTAGGGTTTAGGAATTAGGAGTTTAGGGTTTAGGAATTAGGAGTTTAGGAATTAGGAGTTTAGGAATTAGGAGTTTAGGAATAAGGAGTTTAGGGTTTAGGAATTAGGAGTTTAGGGTTTCGGCATTTCAGAACTTAGGGATTTGGGTTATAGGGTGCTGATATTAGGCTTCACATATAGAAAAATATGTTGGCAGTTTGTCTTAAGTAGTTCGTACATACAGACCATCGAAGAGGTTTACGGGCTTAACTTGCTTGGAGCTTGGAGCTTGTATTCACCGGGGTTTTAGGATTTAGGGGCCTAGGGCCTAGGGCTTGTAAGGAATAGTCTTTGCTCTTAACTCTTGACTCCTTTTGGACCTCCTTTAAATAGGAACCAGCAGGATAAATCGTTCGGTAAACAACCCGAAGCCTTAGCAAACAGAAGCTTTATTCAATCGCATAGAATGAAACAACGACTATGTTTGGCCGGGCTGACATAGTATAGCACATGTCTAATGAAAACCTGAGAGTATCCTAAGTCCTAAACCCTAAACCCCATACTCTCCACTGTGAGCCCGAATTAAAGGTTTCTCCAGGGAGAGGTTCAGGATTTACGCTACGGTTTCTTGGGAGCCTGGAGGATGATGTGCAAAGCTTCTTTGCAGCGGGTGAATACTGAAAGCATGTAGCACGCCTACAAAACCTAGCGAGCATGAGCTCCCTGAATTAGTCGTGCTTGTATCACGTTGCACGTGCAAGAACCTATACAAACCCTAAACCCTATAAAGTCCACAAAGCTTGAGAAGGAGACTGTGGAGCGACAGGATCGACTGGACGAGCGACTGCAGCTCTCGCAGAGTCGCACCGCCAAAGAGACGCCTGGACCAAATGAAACGGTTGGGTAGAGTCCCTGTTAGACATGTACCGGAATTCTGTAATGGGTTTACATGGTTTAGGCTTTGTTTGACATAATATCCCTTTATAATTAGTGCCTATCTTTGCTCCCCTCCAAGACTTATGTATACAGAAGTATGTGTAGATATATAATTATATACAAATACATATATATATATATATATATATCTCTATATGTATATATATATATATATATATATATATATATGCACTTGGACATATATATATATATGTACATGTATAGATATTGATGGTTTGATTAATTGATTGATGGATGGATGGATGGATGGATGGATGGATGGTTGCCCAGAGCCCAGCTTAGGCGAGCAACACCTAAGCCTCAACCCTAACCCTCCGGGTACCTACTCTCTAGGGCCCTAGAGGCTCTAGTACCCTCTATAGTAG